AAATTCAGCTCATTTAAGCTTTTGTATTCTTTAATCATTTGCAGAAAAACACCACGATTTTTGTAAGTTCAACTTACTTAAAGGAACTTTATGTAGCCCTCGCTCTTAAATGTTTTTGCAGTTGAACCTGGGTTGTGCCTAAACCTGCAGATAAAGGACAGTCCTTTTAGGTTTAAACCAACCGGATTTAACCTTTGAAACTGGCAAAGGGGAGGCTTATTCTGTTTTCTGATTGGGTAATCGTCTTGAGAACCAAAACACCAAATTATAATTATGACATTCTTTTTCTTTACAAGTAACATGCTTTTTTAATCTTTAAGAATATGTCAGTCTTACAATATTGTTACCAGTAAATGAAATACCACCGAACCCAAACATTTTCCTCCCTGTGATGAGTTGTTGGTTGGCTGTCCTCGCTCCAGCGCCCCTCGGTGGATCCTCAGGGGAGCGCTGACACTTTTAATCTGTGTTCATCACAAACGCCCCGAGTGTGAAATGCCTTTGTCAATACTTCACTGCCACGGATCAGATCAATGTTTTTATACAGAGAGCGCTTCCACCAAGGCCCAAACATGTCATTCATCTGTGTGTGTGTGTGTGTGTGTGTGTGTGTGTTTGTGGTGTGTGTTTAAATGCAGCTAATGGATTGTGTTTCTTAGAAAGCAGAAGACTTTTCAATGTGCTGTCTCTATATGAAAACAAATATATATCTGAAAGGTGGAAATGGCATACAAGAAGACCCCATGGAGAGGGCAATTAAATGTCATATATTACGCAAAATTGACTTTTATGAGTTTAAAGCTGTGTTCAGACCGTCCAGTTTACATGCAGAGTCGATGTGGACGCGTGTCCAGGGCGTGTTTGCAGTGCGTGTTTTCAGGCGTCAGCGCAATGAGAATCTGGCGTCGACGTGGTGCGTTTTGAGCGTTCAGGCGTCAGCGATGTTATTATTTGGAAGACAGAGAAGAAAAAGAAAGACCTGGGAGCCACCAACACCATAACAACAAATCTACACCGTGTCATTAGTGGAGTTTAAATTTATACCGTATTTTCCAAGCTATTAGACGTGCTCTTAAGCCTTCAACCCCATCAAAAAACGATTGTGTGCCCCGCAATCCAGAGCGCCCTATACACGAATCCACTCGGGTGTCCCAGCACGACTTCAATAAACTACAAAGCCGCACCACCCGCAGCGCACGCAAACACACACGGAGCAGACAGCGACCGCACAGTGAAAAACACCTGCAGACACACTCATCACTCCACGCCGACGAGGAACGGAACGGAGGAACAAACCGAAAAAGTGAGTGCAATGTGCCACTTCTAGCCACAACTGAACAACTGAGTCACTGCAAACACGCCGACAATCCGTTGGTCCCAGACAGCACCCTCCCTACACGCCACAACTGAACAAAGCCCAGAGTCACCGTGAACGCGTCAGACAAAGTCTGACTGAGCCATCCAACTGTTGTGTTGCGTTTAAAGTCTGGTGCGGTTTATTTGTGAAAAGAGTTCGAAAGTAGACCATTTAATGACAGTGCACCTTATAATCCAGAGCGCCTAATAGCCCGGAAAATATGGTACGTATAAACCGCAATTGCCGATCATCTTCGCTGATGGTTCATGTAATAAATACACTAAAGCCACTTTCTGAACTGGGAAAACAAGGCGCTCACAGACTGCAGCGTCGGGGGCGTCTGAACTCACATGCAAAGGCGTCCAACTAGAAGCATCCAGCGCCTATTTTGAGGCCGCGGTCTGAACGCAGCTTTAAGCATGTTTTGTAGCACTTTGGTACCTCATCAAAAACAGACCTGGAGTTGTGTTTTCTTTCATTCACACATGTTTGTCATGTGAATGAAACTGAACACAAATCCAAGTATGTTTTTGATGAGGAAACAACAACAGAAAATGGTAGAGTATGGGCCCTTAAATTTAAAATAGATAAAAGCTAAATGTGTTCAATATAGAAGATAAATAAAAACACATACCGTTTTATTGTTTAGTTTTCAGTGTTCCACTGTATGGCATTAAATGTTTCTATCTCCATGGAGACAAGTAAGATCCAATCTGTGGAGAGCTGACATTGCTCACTGTAATAATACATATTTTCCAAAGCGTTTCTGAGCAATAAAAACACCTTTAATTGTAAAAGTGCTAAACTAATACAAGATTAATGGCATACTGTGGTACATTTTAGGCAAAACAACAAGCTTTCCAGTAGAAAAGCTACAGAGTGTGGCTTTAAGATAAATACTTAAAAGTATACTATGAAACCTGCTTGTTTCTATGGATATGTCATTGCTCTACCATTGAATGTTCCACAGTATGACCTTAAACAGCCCTAACTTATATTTATTAAATGACATATGGTTTTATATCTCAAAGATAACTAGAAAAACAGAGATCTGATCTGTAACTTGGTTTGGTTTAGTCTCCATGAAGATAGAAAAGATTAAAGCCACACAGCGAAACATTTTAAAGCAGTAACATCTCCACAGAGAAAAGTATTTGACGAACCCTCCACCAGGAAAGTTCCACAATGTACCTTTAAATAAACATGAGTTCAGCTGCAGTTTTTTTCATGGAAAGATTTATTCAGGAAAAAATAAATATAAAAAAAGTTTCTAACCAAAGTGCAGTCAATTCCGTATGCACCTTTCCACTACTAACATGATTGGCACTTGCACACACCCTACTGAGCATGTGCGAAGGGAGCTCTATGCAAATCATGTGGAGTCTCTCACTACCGCACCTGTCAATCACCCGCCCAGTGTCCGGACTAAATGAGGCTATATTTTGCGGCGCAGGGACACGACACGATGCGGCGTGAGTCGACGGCGTGGCAGCGGTTTTAAAAGCTCCTGTCACTTGGATCCTCGCCTCTCGCTCTGAGTCATGCACTATTTTAGGAGCATCGCTGATCAGCCCAGTCTGGCATGTCAGGAGCTATAGGAGAGGAGCGGAAACTAGATAAATCGCCTCAAAAGTTGAACATAACTGCACCTCCTAAGTCCAAATGTATGTAAGTTACAAAATAGTTCACGTTCTAGTAGTGTAGTTGGAGAAATGTTTCGATTTCATTCACAGTGTTTACTATGTTCACAATGTTTGCATGTGTAACTTTTTTGTCTGTTTTTGATCTGATTTCTGTTTTGTGTGGAAGAGGGGGCTAGGAGATGTTCAGGGGTGTCTAGTAATTTAGTATTTGCTGAAGATTGTGCAAGTTTTACTTTAACCGTCCAAAATGGTGACAGTATGGTACATGAGTGTGGAGTTGCCGCTGGTCTAATATGATTGAATATTTCCCTGGTTGTTTCTTAGCTCGTGCAGTACATGTACACTACTGGTCAAAAGTTTTAAAACACCATACTTTTTCCAATTTTTTTTAACTGTTTACTTTTTATTGTTGACCAAATCATATTCTAAACGTTTGATTCCTGAAAGTGTCCACTTTTGACAGATATAACAACTGAACACAAAGGTGGCTTGTTCTTTTAACAACAGAAATCAAATATTGTTCAGAAAGTTCTTCCCAAGTTTGTTGCAGAAGTTCCCATAAATGTGCGGCACTTGTAGGTTGCTTCACACTTCTGTCCAGTTCATCCCAAACCAGCGCGATGGGGTTTAAGTCTGGACACTGTGCTGGACACTCCATGTTTTCAAGCTTTACCATCATGTTCTTTTTTCCTTAGATAGTTTTGCCAGAGCTTGGATTTGTGTTTTGTTCTGTCTGTTCAGTTCTTACCTTTGTACCATTTCAAGCTCTTCATTGGACTTGCACGACTTGCACTAAATAACTGGAAAAATTAGAGTGTTCTAAAACTTTTGACTGGTAGTGTACATAGAAGACAATGTACAATGAATTTAGGGAACTTTCTGTGAAGATTTTCTTAAGGTTGCATTTTTCAGTTAGGGGAATATTCAAGTTTCCTAAAGTTTCCATTTTAAGATAGGGGCATTTTTTTTTCCCCATGGAGCCACATGAGAAACAGAAAATATTATGTAGGGCCTGGACAAAATGCTTGACTCAATTCAGCATAATATGAATTGTATCGCTTTATAAAAAGCATCATTGTTTTGACGACACTGGTAAGAGTTTATGTTATGACTGAGCAATGAGAAAGTGAGGTTGCCTTACAAAAAATGTCATGAAAAAACAAAAAACAAAACACCATATAAAAGCAAAGCAGCTTGAGATTAGTTTAAAGGGGCTGGTCAGAGTCAACCAGTGTGGCCCAGGAGCTGGACAATGCCAGGTCTGTTTTAGGGGAACGTTGAGGTAACCATAAAATAACCTTCCCCAGCCATTATAAAATTTCCAAATTAACCTTAAAACAACCAAAATTAACCTTTAGGGAACGTTCTGCTAACTTAAAATTAAGATGCTCAGAACTTTCTGAGAACCAAACATTGTTGGGCAACAGTTACCTATCGAGTAACTGACACGTGTCACCAGGTATGTTTTGATAATTCAGTTTGTTATATGCATGTAACAAACTCCAGAAAGATCTACCGTATTTTTCAGATTATAAGGCACAATATCAATAATGTTGAATTCTACACACCAGATTATAAGGAGCATTAAGCGACACAAACGGACGACACCTGAGACTGATCCCTTAGCCCAGGCGTCCACGGTCCGTTGGCAGATCGCCCGGCATTGCCTCCGTCTTGGTGAATGTGTATTATGAATGTGAATGTGGGTGGATCATTAAAATTTTTTTATTTTCTTTTATTTTCTTGTAGTTATCTGGTTTTTACTGTTCATCTAAATATACCACTGCTCTGATAGCGTGGTAATCGTGGTGTTTGGTGAGGCTTAGGAAGGTTGTCTTCTCTTTTTCCCTCTGACCCAGGGCAACTGTGGCTAACTGTGGTGCGGTGTGCAAAACCAACCTACACCATAAACACAATGCGATAATTTAAAACAGAAGCAGTTAATAATAAATTTCTGTACCATTTATTATTTCTAACCCTCCTATCTGTTTTCTCTCTAGGAATTTTCGAAAACACCTGCGAATGGTGGGCAGCCGTCGAGTCAAAGTCCAGAGTAAGTGTCCCGGTGTAATGTATGCCTGCATTGTGCATGCCCATTCATTATATATGCATGCTTTTATTATTGTGTGACCGTCATGGCATTTCAGTAAGTCTCCATTAGACTGGATCGATTGCTTGAAGGCTTTGGTTTGCCTTTTTGCATTTTAATGAAGCCTGAATTGGAAATTTTGCCTCAATTTGATCTGAAGAATACGGGGTTCATTACGAGGTCTTTCATTCATGCGTTTGGTGGCTTTTGTGACTCGCAGCCATTCACATTTTTTACTGTGTTGTTTTCATAGCTTAAAGTGCATATGATAGGTATTCAATTTATTTTTCTTTATCCTAGACACAACGAAATGGTCATGGTCGAAATATGTTGGCTTTAGTCTTTTAGCTACTTTTCCTCATGCAACTTTGACCTTTTGGAGTGCCTGGATTTCGTTGTGTCTAAAGTTTTGATCCTTTTTCCAAGAGCACCTCTACCTGTTCACACTAATTGGAACACCTACAGCAAACAGCCACGTTTTTGTTTTTTAATTTATCTTCATTATTGCTGAGTTTGGTGGAGTAGCACTTTTGGCATTACATAACTTAAATGGCAGTTTGGGAACTACGAAATACGAAATACTAGCCTGTTCATCAGCCGGTTTCACTTCATGGAAACCGACTGACCTCGCAGCATTAGGATTCGTTCGCTCGACGGAAGGCAGGTACTTTTTTTTATTTAACCAATCGCTGCTGTTTGGTCATGACGTATGTAAAGCACCAAATTCCATAGGAAGAAGGGCAATAACGTCTTTCCCCTTGATAAAATTCACCAAACATTCTCTTTGTTCCGGCTCTAAATCCTCAGTCTCTGGAATCGTTGCCAACACAGAATGTCTGTCTTCGTCTACATCCATCTTGACCGCTTTGTTTACTGTTGTGTTGTACCACAAAAGGGCCCAAACAGGCGCTTGAGTTTGACGTCATGGCTTCACAGCTCTACGCTGATTGGCTGGTGTGCGGTTTACAACTTCAGGGGTTCTTGCAAACTGTCTAGTATATTCCGATTCCTGACCTAGTCGCTGGAGAGAAATTTAATTGAGCGGAAACACTAGGGGGCACCAGCCTGGCTACAAAAATATATGGAGTAGAGATAAGTTCCAAATCCCTCTTAAGGATGCACCAATACGATACTGGTATTGCTACTTGTATCAGCTCCAAAATATCGGTTCTGCTCATATCCTGGTTGGGATTTATTGTGATATTTTGGAGAGGCTGATATAATTGTAGATGGGACACGTTTCTGCTTTTAAAATACCTTGATAAGATTTTGGGGTGAATTATTCCTAATTATTATAATCCTAAGAATTCAAGTAAAAAACATATTTCTTAATGTTGTCTGCGCTGAAATGAATCATGGGATATGTAGTTTCCACTGCTTATAAGCTGCTTGCAACTATAAAACCATGCATTTAAGCAAAGGAACTTGTGATTCGATATATTGTGATGGTCCACGATATTATTGTGAGACTTTTGACAATACAATATCACAATATTTCGGTTATTGTTACATCCCTACTATTTCCTAGTCGTAGCTGGTCCAGAAAATCTCAGTGTTTCAGAGCTTTTAAGGCAAAGTTGTTCTGTAGTTACTTGAGAGATACATAAGAGCGTTTCTGTGAAGTGAAAGCGGCTGATGAATCAGGCTATTTTAGATCTGGACTGAAAAGTAAATAGTATTTTTCTTTATGGTGTGAGTCCTGCTGTTCAAATCCCAACTTCTGAGCAAACCAAACACACAAAAACTCAAAAACAGACAAAAAAAAAAAAAAATCCTCAATTGAATATCTTAAAATCAGCTAAATTCTTTATCAAAATCACTACATTTGATGCTTTAATAATTCTAAAAATCTCTACAATACTATATACTTTTTTACTCTTTAAGTTCATTTTTAAACAGGTACTTTAATTGTTTTACTCAAGTAGATTTTTTCATGTGATACTTTTACATGAGTAATCTTTTGCCCTTGTAGCTGTACTTTTACTTAAGTAACAAAACTGAGTACTTCTTCCACCACTGATCAGCAGATACTTAAAGCCAAAATATTGACAATCCATGAGCAAAGAAGACATTTTTCTGACACTTTAAACCTTCAGTTAATAAAATAAAGCTTTTTAGTCTAATCATTACTATTGTGTCAAATAGACGAGCTTTGGCCCCTGTTAACGTCATGGTTGCTAGGTAACAGTTATTCGCCTCTCGTGTCCAACCAGGAAGTCAAATTACAAACCTTTTTTTATGTTTATTAAAAAAATAAAATAAAATAGGCAAATTTTTTTTGGACAATCTTACAATAACGCCGTTTTAGTGAAAAGATGTGAAGTGGTCTAACCGTCATCTGCAGTTTAATACATGAAACTACGAGCTACATTGATTTATAAACTCCACTCCCAAGCCTTTCCTCCATATAATATTGACCTGTTTACTGCATCGTTTACATTTGCTCTTTTACAAGTCAATAATGCTGAATAATTGTCCTATTTAATGGCCACTTCTGGTAATTGGCTCTCTGCATATCTTGATTGACAGATTCTAATGATTACGGGGATTATAGATGGGATCGCTTAAGGCTCATAGGTGAATGCATTGAGAGGTTTTGCAGTCATATGAACAGGAATATATAGTCCAGTATTTATTTATAAAAGGTCTACCGTATTGTTCACACTATAAGTCGCACTATTTTTCGTGGTTTGGGTGTTTCCTGCGACTTATACTCCGGGGCACCTTATATATTAAAATTTTCAGACTGACAGCTGCTAGAGTGCGCTTTAGGCTTGTGTGTCAGTATCTAGTACTACTATTACTCCTGTACCACTGTCACTTCACACTCTACTGTGCATGTCTCCTGCAGAAAAAGCTGCTGTCCTACTGCAAATAGTGAAATATTCAGCCGAAAACGTTAATCGAGCAGTAGAAAGAAAGTTTGGAGTGAGCGAGAAACTTGTGAGGGTCAGACGGAAAGCGGGGATGGAGAACACAGCTTCACAGTAACCGGGCGGGTGCGCCATGTAACTTTCGTGGAAGTCACTGGATTTATTTATTTATTTATTTGAGACAGGGACAGTGCACAATTTTTGCATTAACGTTAACAGGAGAGATGCATTGTACATCAGGTTGTAACATCAGTGCTAATTTCCACCTGTAGTCTCTGGGCAGATTCACTGATTGATTGTATTTAACTGACCTTGACTATCAATTGTTCTTGGAAACCTATGTAACATGTTTTGGGTTGGATGGATCGCCAAAGCCTGAACTTCAATGACAATCGAAACCATCCTGTCGGGATTCAGAAAGGCCAGAATAATTCTGATGGGAACTGATGCCGAGTCTGACGACAGCTTCACAGAAGAGGAAGCGGCGCTCTGTTTACCTCATGGATCTATGGTTTATCTCTCAAAGTGACACCGAGGATGAAGAATTCAATGGATTTAGTGATTTGGAGTGAGATGGAGAGTTTGGTAAACTTATGTTCTCTTGTTTATGCTATAATTATCTGAATAACTGTTCATATGTTACGTTAACATATTCATGCCTCTTCAGTCTGTTGTTCTCTGTTCTGTTGTTATTACTAGAACTTGACTTTCAAGATGAAATGTCAGTTCCTGGTCTCTGATTTTATAAAATACATTTCCCCAAAAAGTGTGACTTATAGTATATTGGTTTTGTTTTTGTGAAAGAAATCATGGATAGAAAAGCACAAAAATATCTCTACCTATGTCGTCTACACCGGGATTCATTAACACATCTTTAGCCTGTGTCTCGTCCATGTTTTAAGGTTACAGTGTAAAAATAACTCATTTTGTAAACGCTTGGAGATACTGTCGAGATCTCAGTGTGCGTTAAGCCGCTCCGTGAACAAATAAGAAATGGCAATGGGAGAATTAGAGAAGAGCAGGTGGCCACACAGAGCTCACACTATTCTTAGTCTGTCTGCTTTGTTGAATCTGGCAAGTGTGATTAAGATTTTTATATATGCAGATTATAGCTTCAGTCCATGAAATTTAAAGCAATGTGTATTAAAGCTCAAATCTGGCTCGATTTCTTAGTATAAAACGCTTTATCAGTTGTGGGTTCTCCACCTTGCATTTTGGAACAAGACCAAATTAAAAGGAGACCTATTGTGCTTGTGTGGGGTATATGATTATATTATATTATATGATTTTGCTTTTTATGTTATAATTTGGAGATTTTAATTTGCAATATTCAAAGCATTCAGCTCATTACACTTTGATTTGCCTAGAGATTGACCATGGCCAGTGCTGGTTGTTTTAGACTCCAGAGAACCTGATAACCAATAAGATCTGCCGATATTTTTTGGCTGATATGTGGGGCAGATCTTAATTACTAGTATTTTTCCCAAATTGTGTACCCTATTTTTTGGACTATAAGTCGCTCCATAGTATAAATCGCACCAGCCAAAAAATGCATAGTAAAGAAGAAAAAACATATTTAAGTCAGACCGGACTATAAGTCACACTTTTTGGCAAGTTCTAGTTATAACAATAGAACAGAGAATCACATATGAACAGTTCTTCAGATAAACTATAGCATAAACAACAGAACAGAACAAGTTTACCAAACTCTCCATCTCACTCCAAATCACTAAATCCATTGAATTCTTCATCCTCGGTGTCACTTCTGAGCAACTCTGTGACCTCCAGAGGTAAACAGAGCGCCGCTTCCTCTTCTGTGTAGCTGTCGTCAGTCAGTTAGAATTATTCTGGCCTTTCTGAATCCCGACAGGATGGTTTTGGTGTCACTGAAGTCCAGGCTTTGTCAATCCATCCAGTGACTTCCAGGAAAGTTGCATGGTGCATCCTCCTGGTTTCCATGAAGCTGTGTTCTCCATCCCCGCCTTTCGCCAATCCTTCACAAGTTTTTCTCACTCACTCCAAACTTTCTTTCTGCTGCTCGATTATCGTTTTCTGCTGCATATTTCAGTACTTGCAGCAGGACAGAGGCCCTTTCTGCAGGAAACATGTGCAATAGAGGGTGAAGTGACAGTGGTACAGGAGTAATGGGAGCAGCAGATACTGACACACAAGACTAGAGCCTCTCGTGGCTGTCAGTGTGAACATTTTAATATATTAGTCGCACCGGATTATAAGTCGTAGGACCACCCAAACCACGAGAAACGTGCAACTTATAGTCCGAAAAATACGATAATTAAAATTTACTACAAACGTCCCCTAAGTCCTGTTTTACTGCCAACCTTTAAGAAAGCAGTGCAGTCAAACAGTAGTGCAACTATCTCCTTAAAGTCTTCAAATGAGACTTTGTGCACTAGAGCGGCCAAAATTAAATATCTGCCTTTGTGGAGATTTAAGACTGAAAGCCGATACTCTAAACAGTGTAAATATCGGCCCGATATATCTACCAACTGATATATTAGGCTGGTCTTTCTCTAGTTGTGCTCCATTACTTCATGTTTTGCCTGTGCATTGCCTGGTTGCTGGTTCCATTCTCATAACACTGTATCCGCCTCCGTCAGCCTTCGTGGACCGCCGGGCCAAGAGCTTCAGCCGCTCCTGGAGTGACCCCACCCCCGTCAAGCCCGAGTCTCTGCATGACTCCAGAGACAGTGAGTCCTCAGTGCACGGTACAGACACACACAGGACACGTGAGCAGACATAGTTAGGCACTGGCTATTTATTTATTTATTTATTTACTTACTGAAAAGAGCATGTATTTTTACTGTTAATGAGGAGCTGACCTGTAACTTGACGTCCAAAATGAGATGATGAAAATAGATCGACACATAATACATAAGTTTAATGTCATATCGTGGAACATAAAAAGCAAAGCGTCGTCTCATTTCTTTGGAGACAGGTAGGTGCATATCAGGTCCCATAAAAATGACACTGTGAAATTGCACCATGACAGAGAAACATCTGTGTGAGATCGTGTCATCAGGTTGTTTTGATACACTTCTCCAAGCTCCGGCTACTTTAAAGATTCCCTATTATGATATTTTCTGCTATTTTCTGTTATTTTCACAAACACAGAGTTGTATTTTATTCATTCACACATGTTTAACACACAAACCTTCAAATGAAACAGAAAACGCAAAAAAAGACAAAGTTCTTGTAGAGGTGCAAATGCAAGCAGCAGCAATTTAAAAGTGAAAAAAGCCATAGCACACTCAGAATTTAAATAACGTTACGGCAAAAAGCCTCCGTCATTCGGGGGATATGAGCACCTGGGCTGGCAACCATTTTGTATACTGTGATCCAAAGCAAGAATAATGTTTTAACACACAAACCTTGTCAAATTACAGGTCAGATCTGTGGAAAGCATTTATTTTAAAGCTTTTAAAAGATAAATCATATGTAATTGAATAAATATGAGATAGATATGTTTACTTACATGCTCTGGAACATTTTAGGCATTTAAGTGTAATCAATTAACACAACTCAGCAGCTCTTAAGATTTTAATGTTTTTTCCGTATAATGAATTAAAGAATCTACATTTCTGTGTGAATGTTTTCTCTACAAATGTCCATGTTGGATCCGTTCAGACTGGATGTACAGTGTCTGTTTGTCCTTCGTCTGTCCGTCTCCATTTTAAACTCATCTGTGTGTCTGTCCATCTGCCTGACCGCCTGTCTCGTCTCCGTTTCCGTTTTGGTGTTTGAAATCTCGAATGATTTTTGCGGTCTAAATCAGGACTAAATCAGGACTAAACCAGGTTTAAAACAACTATATTTAAACCAACACAAGGTCTAAACCCATCATAAATCAACTTGATCTTAACTTGGACTAACCAGGACTAAACCAGGTCTAAACTAGGACAAAACCAAGACTAAAGGGACTTAACCAGGACTAAGCGAGGTCTAAACAAAGTCAAATCAAAGACTAAACCAGGACTAAACCAGGTCTTAAATGGGACTAAACCAGGTCTAAACTGGGACTAAACCAGGTCTAAACTAGGACTAAACCAGGGCTAAACTAGGACTAAACCAGGTCTAAACAAAGATTAAACCAGGGCTAAACCAGGTCTAAACTAGGACTAAACCAGGGCTAAACTAGTACGAAACCAGGTCTAAACTAGGACTAAACCAGGTCTAAACAAATATTAAACCAGGGCTAAACCAGTTCTAAACCAGGTCTAAACAAAGACTAAACCAGGTCTAAACTAGTACGAAACCAGGTCTAAACTAGGACTAAACCAGGTCTAAACTAGGACTAAACCAGGGCTAAACTAGGACTAAACCAGGTCTAAACAAAGACTAAACCAGGGCTAAACCAGTTCTAAACCAGGTCTAAACAAAGACTAAACCAGGTCTAAACTAGCACGAAACCAGGTCTAAACAAAGACTAAACCAGGGCTAAACTGGGACTAAACCAGGGCTAAACTAGGACTAAACCAGGTCTAAACTGGGACTAAACCAGGACTAAACCAGGACTAAACTAGGACTAAACCTTGGTGTAAACTGTGTCTAAACCAAGTAAATCAAAGCCGACAGACAGACATACGACAGACAGTGCCAAGTCAGATCTGGGACTAATCTATAATCTATAATCTATAATGTATAATCTGTAGTGGTGTAGTAAAAATGGACAACATGGATCTATACCACAAGACGTAATCAGGTCTGAATAGTGAGTTCCCCAAAGAAGGACTAAAGTGTGATTGAACTGAAACGTGCACTATGTAATGTGTCTGTGTTTTAGTCACAGGTCAGATCAGTGGAGAGGCGAGACCGCTCCAAGATCCAATCCATGTCTTTCAATGTTTTTAAATTCTCAATGGATGCATGTCGTACTGTGGAACATTCTAGACAAAACAAAACGTCTCCATGGTGACCGTCCACCAGAGAAGTGTCGTAGCTGAGGGAGGAGCACCCTCAAGTCTAATAACCTCTGTCTCCTCTTCTTCCTCTCTGTTCCCTCCTTCTCTTCCTCTTCCTCCCTCACTCCTTCTCCACCTTCCTTCCTTTATCTTTTCTGCTTCTCCCCTTTTTCTCTCCCTATCCTTCCATTCCCCCCTCTCTCCTTGCCTCTCCTCCTCTTCTCAAATCCCCCTCTCTCTCTCTTCTCTCATCTTCTCAACCTTTCCCCTTCTCTCTTTCCTCTACCTCCTACCCTGTTGTCCGTCCCCTCGCTCTTCTCCCTCTGCTTCTCTCCTTCCTTTCCTCTTCTCTCCCCCCCTGCCTATATCTTTTCTCCCTCGCTCATTTCTCTACCTCTTTTTTCTCCATCTATCCCTTCATCCCTCCTTCCTTTCCACTTCTCAACCCTCTTCCTTCTCTCTCTAACTCCTCAACCTTTCCCCCTCTCCCTCGCTTTTTCCCTCTCGTCCTCCTCCAACCCTGTTCTCCCTCTCTTCCTCTCCTTCCTTCCATCTTATCGCTCCCCACTCCCTCTCTCTCTCTCTCTCTTCCTCCGTCTCCACAACCTCCCTCTCTTTTCTCACTCTGCCCCCTTCCCCTTTCTCTCTTCTCCCTCCCCCTCCTACCCTTTAATCCCCTCATTGCTGTTCTCCCTCTCGTTCCCTCCTTCCTTCCCTCTTGTCTTTCCCTCTCTCTGTCTCTCTGCCTCCTTCCTCTCTCTCCGCATCTTCACAACCTTTCCCCCTCTCCCTTTCTTCTCCACCTCCCCCCTTACTCTTCTCCCTCTCATTTTCTCCTTCCTTCCCTCATCTGCGCTCGCTCGTCTCCCTCGCTCTCCCTCCTTTCTTTCGCTTCCTCAATCAACCCTCAACCCTCTTCCCTCTCTCTCTAACTTCCCTCTTTCCTCCTCTTCTTCACGCTCTCCCCGTCCTACCCTGTTTTCCCTCCTCGCTCTTCTCCTTCTCTTTCTCTCCTTCCTTCCTTCCTTCCCTCTCCCTCTCTCTCGTGTGACCCAGGCGGGGACTTGCAGACGTCCACGGGGGCTCTGGACGAGGGCCTGGGGGAGGACGCAGACTGGGAGGAGGAGAGGGAGCAGGAGAGAGCGGCCTGCGACGGAGAGGACTTCATCCCTCCTAAAATCATGGTGAGAGACGAGACGAGTGAAGAGGGTTTAGAATGAAGAGCCTCTTGCCTTTTGGAGACATGACTTCACAAATAATCAAAGTGAAAAGCAATAATTATGACAAGAAAAAACGGGATGTTCATAAGCTTTCACACAGAATTACAAGTCTCTTTGCTTAAAGTCATTGTTTTGGTTCTATTATTATGTTGTAATAATAATAAAATTATTATTATTATTAAAATTAATCAAAAAAAAAAAACTGAGTGAACTACATATACCATGATCCTTTGCTCCATTATAGTGCAGACTTCAGGAAAAGTAATACAAATAATAATAAGAATCATAATTTTTAAGCACGTTTTAATCTTAATAAATCTTAATTCTGTGGTTTATCAAGGCATTTTAAAAGGAAAAAGTTGCATTTTCACAATTTAGCATCTACAAAATATTGCAATAAATTTTGTATCGTGGGATGTATCGTGAAAATACACAAACACACTTTTTGGCACCGTACTGGTACCTTTAAACAGTATCCAGCACTTTTTTTTTTTGCTGTTGTTGTAGAATATATTGTAGCAGCCCATAGAATAAAGTAAGTTTCCTTCAGTCCAGTCTGCCTATGCTTGCATTGTAGGGAGTATTATACCTGTGAGGACAAATGCTTTTTCAAAATGGCTTTATTGTCTTGATAGATCTTGAACATTACCTTTTTATTTTATTTATTTATTTTTTTAGACTTAGACAAGCTTTATTGATCCACAAGGGAAATAACTTGGACACTGTAGCTCACACAACACAATAAAATATAATAACAGAGAGAAAAAATATGCTAATGCTAATAATAAATTCTAAATAAGTAGCAAAAATAGCAAGAGACTGGTGTTATATGTACAAGTAAAAATAAAATAAAAGTAATACAAATCTCTCAGCTATATTTAAGAGGCCGTGAGGAAAACAGTGCAAATATGTATGATGATTGACAGGACATAGGGCTATCTGTTACATAAGGGTGAGCTGTTTATTTACTTTGCTTCGGTTCTAGACACCAACGTTTATCTACAAAAAGTATGTTCATAAAATACTACTGACCACGTTTTACATGATGTAATTAATAGTTCTGAATTAAATAGTTTGGAATTAAAATATTCTTGGAGTTTACATGGAAATAATGATTCCAAATTGAGGTTTACATGGAAAACATGTTAAATCGCCTTTATTTAATTCCGCTCAATGTCTGGGGGTGGGGAAGTTTCTGATTGGACAGGAACACCAATGTATTTACGTCGACCGGAAGAAAACACACACTTCAGCTGCTACCGGCTTTTCTGTCATCTCGGTTTGTCGTTACGCCACGGACACAAACGCGATCCAAACTTTTTCCGCAGCAGCTGGAGAATTCTCTCATCACTCTTTACATCTGTCAGCTGAGGAGGAGAAGGGAAGAAGAAGACAAACTGAGTCAAAGGCTGCTCGCATCCCGCTGGTGGAGTTGGATCGTCTGGATTGCGTCAGACGGGCGACCCATCGAGCATGCGCCGAACGACCGGAATTATTTTTAAGAAGAATAAACGTTTACATGATCAAGAAATTTGGCTTTAAAATCACAATAAACCACTCACTTACTTCGGAATTAAGTTTAATTATGAATAATAATTTTCATTAGGAATTAATTGTTTACATGGTCTTTTTAAAAATTTTATTCAGAATTAAATTATTTTTATTCGGAATGTAAGCTCTTATGTAAACGTGGCAATTGTTGCTTTAAAGATGCATTGTGTAATTTTTCTGGTGGAAGCTCTGTCGTATGCTTTTCTCCATGGAGATGTTATTGCTTTGTCTGGAATGTTTCACAGTATGACATTAAACCTTTCTATCTTAATGGAGACTAAACTAGACCAAGTTACAGGACACATCTGTGGAGAGGTGACCCCACTCATCACTTATAAAAACACCTGTATTTGAATAAATGTAAGGTAGAACTCATTAATGTCATACTGTGGAACATGCCAGGCAGAGCAACGACATATCCATAGAAACAAGCAGGTGACGGTGCCGCCACCAGAAAAGTTACGCAATGCACCTCTAAAGCTTATAATATAGTAGCCATGTGTTCCTATATAATGCTCCAGTGTGTGACCGATGTGCCTGTGTGTGTTCTGTGCTGACAGCTCATTTCATCCAAAGTCCCGAAGGCCGAATATGTCCCCAACATCATTCGCCGTGACGACCCCTCCATCATCCCCATCCTCTATGTAAGTGTCCGCAATAACACTGTTACAGCACACATTCAGTCTACTGTGCAAAAGCCAACTGACAGGAAGACTACGGGGAGTTGTGCTGTGTGTATCGCTGTGTTTCAGATGACATCACAACACTCTGTAGGATAATAATATTTAAAGGTCTTATATAACACACAGTGGACTCTTGTGAGCTTCAAGACAGATTAGAATGTTGTTACTCATCAAAAACATACCTGGAGTTTTGTTTCATTCACACATGTTTGAGTAATCCTTTTATTATTAGTCTGTCTACATCTCCACAGCTCAAAGTGCTCTGTTCCACCTGAAGCAGTTTTCTGCTTAACAGCTCCTTTTACCTTTAGTTCAGGCTATTCCAGGGCTGGAAGGTGGATGGAGTGTCACCTCCTAGGACCTGGCATCCACACATGTAGACATATATATCCAACACATTTTGGGTTGTTCAGGCACTTAATAAAAAGTTTTTGCAAATAATTTTTCAGTTATGACTTTATGTTCCATCAAAATAATTAAAGGGCCCATCTCATGAAAAATAACTTTTCACATTGTATCTTCTGCACATAAACAAGCACAATTTGTGTTTTGGAACATCCATTACACAATAGTTATGACCACAGAACAGGAACTACGAAAGACCGACTATTGCTCCTCCCCCCGCCCGTCCTGAGAAAACACAGGCTCCGCCCTCCAAACGTGACGTAGGCTCTGAGTGAGCCGCCCTTCCTCCGCCCATCTCAGGGAGGGAGGGGGAGACAGACGTGCACCCTGATAGTTGTAGGAATAAACTTTTATTCATCATGGAGATACAGCACGTTCAGCCGCATGTGTTGGACCCGGAATTGGACGAGGACTTTGAGGTGCACGAAGCTCAAGCACCACATCGACATCAGCTGAACATTACTGATTGGTTAAGCATTAATGAATGCTAGTAGATAAACTTATTATATCATGTACACTGCAGTGTAGAACAATTAGTTTGAGGGAATTGTCAGCCAATGCGGGGAGGAGGCGGGGCGGAGGTGGTGGAGCGGGAGGGTAGGCGGGTGTGAAGCACCTTCTGCTAAGTCAAACGTGTCATAGGTGTAGCTGCCACATCATCGTTGTAGCAGCTTTAGTTCGTTGTCACGTGGGAGGGTGGCAGAAATACGCTACAATTTGTTAAAAATAATGCCAAATCAATCTAAAAACCGCTTTGGCG